TGACCGATTATGGAGAGTTAACATGCATTAATTCCACTAATCATAATAGTAACAAAAAATAAAATTTTCTAAGTAAAAGAAAACAGTAAAACTCACAAAAGGTTTGATAAACCGAAGCTTTTTATCCCTTAAGCGTCTTTGTCCACTGCTAATTTGTACCTAACAAGAAAAAGAATTAAGGTGAGATATCAGAACGTCTTAAGACTAGTAAACCAAAAATAGAACTAATTAAAAACTAAACTAATAACAAATCTCCCTGGCAACGGCACCAAAAATTGTTGTTTGTTTTTGCATACTACTTATAAATTTACCACTCGCAACAGCAAGAATCCTTGCAGAATAGCACTATAGAGAGGTGTTAAACCCACAGAGAGATGAGTTCTTAAATTTTGCTTTTAACTAATTCTTATTGGTTCACAGGTAACTGATTAAATTGATTGATTTGGTTGTCATAATTATAAACTGAAATTAAACTAAAGGGATCAGAGAGAGAAAGGTCTTAGGGCTTTGACTTCACCACAACCGTGTAACTATGGTTAACTATTTTAACTCTGGGGATTTAATCATATTATATTTCAAATGAATTGAACTCAATAACATTCGTTCAATTCGGGTTTTAAAGAAAGATGTTTTATAAAATTCAGTTAACTATAACCTATCTGCAGTTAGCATAGACTATCCACCTACCTACTTTAACTATTTTGTAAACAATCCATCTTTCCTAAGCATAGACTATGAAAACATTTTTTTATAAAAAAATGTTAGAATACCATTACATGACCTCGATTCTTATGTCCAGCAGGGCTCCGCCAGATACCGTCCAATAAGAATGGGTTAAGAATAGAAGATGAATAGTTATATCTAAGATAAGGTAATAACAATTCGAAACCTATTTAAAACATTAAATCCAATTGAGTTGTTTCAATTGCTTATAGTCATGTAATCAAAAACATAATATATATTAAAAATATCCCAGAGTTAAAACAATCAAACCATAGTATTAGATCGGGTTACATCAGTGCCCTAAGAGAGGAATTAGCTACTCATGAGGAGTTCGAATATCATCTGTACTATAGTCGTCTCCATCGTCACGAACGGTACTTCTCTTACCGGGATCTTCACCTTCTAAGGTTATGGAAACCCTAAAAGCCACCACACTATCAACCTTCTGAATATCACCGGAAAAAGGACTTGGAATTTCGGACCTCTTCTATCAAGGCTTGTGCTTTCTTTTATAGAAGAAAATAAGGATCTGGTGGGCTTTTAGGTCTTCTGGTCCATCTGGGGTGAAATACGTCTCAAAAAGGAATAATCCCATAACTTGAAATCTAATTTGCCATGGAAAGCTTGAGCTTTAGGAAATCAAGCTCGAACTTTGAGCTTTAGGCTCGAGCTTGGAAAACAAGGCTCGAGCTTTTACATTTATGCTCAAGCTTCAAGGAATGGTGCTCGAACTTCACTTTGACACTTAACCAATTTTCTTCAACACTTAGAATATTTTTGGGATTGAAATCTTTTAACATTGCTCGATCCAAACTTCATGGGCTCGAGCACTAGGTACTAGGCTCGAGCTTTAGGTACTCAAGGCTCGAGCCTTAAGTGATGGTGCTCGATCCTTGAGGTTTGGCACGAGGCCCTAGGAGCTTGGTTCTTTAATTTAAATCAACTCTTCAAATTTCAACGCCTTATGCTCGAGCTTGAGGGCCAAGGCTCGAGCACCCTTAGGTAAGGCTCAAGCACCCTCTGTTAAGGCTCGAGCTCTAAGGTACAAGGCTCGAGCTTCAATGTCTTGTTGACTTTTCTTCCTTTCTTCTTGCACGGCTCGAGCCTCAGGACTTGGACTCGAGCTCTAGTTCTTAAATTCTTCCAAACATCATCATTTAAGCTCTCAACTTGCTCTGGAGGATCGGCAATGACTCTATAAGCTTCGATATCATCATAAAGTCTCAGTTTTAATCATTTCTCTGGGAAAGTACCTATAAACTGCAATGTTTATGACTTTCATTTTATATATATGTATATATATAATGTTAATTAAGAAATTATTTTGTAAAAGTGGGTGGGACCCACCTTTATTATTTACTCTATGTGATCAAGGGTCATTTCCTGACCCATTTTGTTTCAATCAGCTCGCTCTCTCTCTCTCGCGACCTGCTCTCTCTCTCCCTTTCGGCTTTCTTTTTTTTCTTTTTATTTTTCTTTCACAAAAGCTTAGATTAAAGCCACACCAATGGGAATTTTTGGGTACCGTTTGTGGCAAATCGAAAAGCTCAGCGAGATCTTCAAGTGGATGTAATCAATTTCAGTTTTGGTGCACCCTAGGGATTTCAAATTTTTGGCTCACTTTAGGGATTTTGCATCTAAGTGAGGTAGGAGTGTTTAATCCACAATCTCTTAGATTTTGGTGAATTATTTTTCATAATTTGTGTTACAATTTCCTCAATTGGTGTGTACTTCATGCAATATTTATTATGTGTTGTATATGATATGTGTATATATATGTTAGTTGTTATGTGATAAAGAACCATGTTAAAGTGATGTTAAATTTCATGCCTATTGTGCTTTAAAATGCTGAATTTTATGATTTTGAAGCATGATATAAATTTCTAGAATATTTTTATGAGGCATGTTTATTGTAAATTTTTGACTTGTAAGGAATAAAAATTTCTTTATTGGCATGGCATTAAAATGCATAAGACATATATGGATTCATTAGGAAAGAATGGGAAAAAAATTAATTTGAAAGAAATGAAATGGATTTTTGGAAAGAGGTTTTGAAGAGGATTTTTTATTTTTGCGAAAACCCGATCGCCTAGGGGTTACCTAAGGGCCGTGGTGTTAGTAAGGCCTAGAGGGGACTAGGGAGATTTCCTTAGCGTGGTTGAGTTACCTGGGCCCAAATGACGCCACGAGGTTACCATGGGTCAGGGACAGTAGCCAATCCTCCTCTCATGCCGCCATGGGGTCACCATATGACGGGTTTCACTAACAGTTTAGAAATAATGATGGAAATGGTTTTGGAAAATAGGGAGCGACATTGCATGACATTGCACCCATTGTACAGCATATCCATTCATGACTTGGTTTATAAATGTGATATTGTGGTTATTTTTCCTTGGCATAGCATGACCCCAATTACTTTGTTTCTATTTATTGTTTGGATTCACGGGGTCTCAAGAGGTGTGCCTTAGGCACCTCCTACTAAGCTTTATACTCACCCTATTATTTAAAAAAAAATTCAGGTCATGAAAAAGAAGTAGAGGATGACTTTCCACCACAGGCCTAGTATGGATTAGAAGATTCTTTTGCTATTTTTGTATCTAAGTCTCACTATTTTTATAAAACTTAGCATATTGTATTATGTACTGAGACTTATGGCCTCTTGTTATTGTAATTATATTCATGGGCTATAACTTTAATATAAGTTGTCTAAAAGTTGTAAGACATAGACTTTTGATCTTAATTATAATTTTGGGACTGTAATTGTGATATTTGGATTAGATAGCATGTAGTTGTTCCACCATGAGCTGAACTATGTTGAAGTATAATGAATAGATGAAAGGAATGTCAAAATGTATTATTTGCATTGTGTGCTAGGACAGGTTTAATAAATTTTGAAGGTCTAATAGAGGCCATTGCATTTTTATGCATTCAAGCAGGTCGTTGTAGGACCACGTTTTAGCAGAGGTCATGCCGAAATTTTTATTTTTATTTTATAATTAGTATCATTTTAGGGTCGTTACAAATTTGGTATAAGAGCAATGGTTTAAAAACCATTAGGACGACGGGTAGAGGCCTACTTAGGATTGTTTGGGGAGTCGTTTACATTGCTATGTGACTATTTCCTAAAGTGTTTTGTTATTTGAAAAGCATGCTTAACTATTTACTTGCTTACGTGTTTAGATGTTTATGCTAATGTGCTTATTGCATAGTCTTACATGTTAAGTGTTTGTGCGGTATCATTTTATGTTAAGTTGTTCACGGTTGGACCTTAGTGTTATCATTATTGAACCGTTTTCTTGTTTTTTAGTACGATGACGCCACGAAAGGAACCCAGAGGTGTTGGCTTTTTGCTGACAAGAGGTGATGTTGGTGAAAGCTCTAGCTCCAATCCGGCGGAGCAAAATGAAGAAGAAACACTTCTTAGGGATTTGATTACCCTAAGAGGTGTTTCTACTAGAAGGGATGATGTTGAAGCACCCGTCGAAGAGGGTGGAGGTTCGGCGGGACTAGCACTGAACTGCTTGTTGCAGAGTGCCTTGAGGGCAACAATTGCTACTCTTCCACAACCGGTACCGCAATCGGTAGTTCAGGTGGAGGAAACGCCAGCGCAAAAACTTCTTAAGTTAATTTCAGGGTTTTCCAAGTTAATGCCAGCGATGTTTGAGGGTAGTGCGGATCCAATCGAAGGGAACAATTATATGGATCAAGTTAAAACTCAATTGACCTCTATGGATGTGACGGATGATTATATGAAAATCATCCTAGCCACTTACAAGTTTTCCAAGGACGTTAAGTTTTGGTGGAAGCCAATCACAAATCAGTATAAGATTGAAGAGATGAGTTGGGATAGGTTCAAGGAGCTATTCTATGAGAAGTATTTCCCTGCTCCTAAGAGGTGGGAACTAAGGGACCAGTTTAATGGCCTTATCCAAGGCAATATGTCAGTAACAGAGTACGAGAATAAGTTCATGTCTCTCTCTCGTTTTGCTCCAGAGATGGCGAGTAATGAAGTTGATAAGATTCAAAAGTTTGTTTCTAGTCTTGACTATAAAATGAGGCTGTTGCTAATGACACAGTACATCAAAGTTTATTCAGAGGCAGTGGAAAGAGCATTGATGCTAGAGACAGAAGCCAAGGATAGAAATGTAGGAAGGGATCAGTGAAAGCAAAAGAGGAATGCAGGATCATCTTCGGAGGGACCTTCATAGAAGAGGAACAGGGGTGGTTCGTCTCAGTTTTAGGGGCAGCAGTCAGCACGATCCACTCCTACTACTCTTATGCCAGCTGGGTCAGATAAAAGTGGGGTTGTTTGTTATCAGTGTCAGCAGCCTAGACATTATAAGTCCAAATGTCCTATGAACTCGTCTAGAGCTTGTTATGGGTGTGGCCAGCAGGGCCATCTGATTCGGGATTGTCCTAGTCGGGGAGCAGGCACTGGTAATGGCAGAGGGTCACAACAGAGGCTATCACAGTTAGTTACAATTCAGTCAGGTTTCAAACCACCACCACCACAGCCTGCCATATCTTCTCAAGGTTCACGGCCAATTAAGAGGAATACCCCTACTATGTTAGTGCAGCAGTCAAGTGTTCAGGTTGGTAGTTCTCAGGCACAGGCACCACAGGGACATGTCTTTGCACTTACATAGGCTGATGTTCTTCTGGTCCATCAGTTCTCCGAGGTATATTTCTAGTGTTTTGTTCTTGGGCCCATGTTTTGTTTGACTCTGGTGCATCTCATTCCTTTATATCATCATCATTTGCACTTGCATCAGGGTTAGAGGTCAGTTTCATGGATCGGGCGTAATGTGTTGATACGCCAGTTGGGGTTTCTGTGTCTTTGAGCCGAGTTGTGAGAGATTGTTCCATTGTGATAGCCGGTCAGACTTTTGTGTTTGACCTTATCCTCCTTTGATGTCATTCTCAGGATGGATTGGTTAACTTCCTTTCGTTCCACGATCAACTATTTTAAAGGTAGAGTCACAGTTTGCACTCTTGAGGGAGACTGTTTTTTTTTTTTTTTTTTTGGGAGATCGGAGTGATTCCTACACTTCATCGTTTTATGGAGTTTGTGGACGGAGTCGTGGTGATTACTTCTTGGCTAGTCTTCTAGTCAAAGAAGATGATGTTATGGAAGAAGATTATCCTACTGTTGTTCGTGATTTTTGGGATGTGTTTCTGAAGGATTTGACAGAGTTTCCTCCACACCGAGAAGTGGAGTTTACTATTGATTTGATGCCCGGTACCGCGCCGATTTCTATGGCACCGTATCGTATGGCACCAGTTAAATTGGGAGAATTGAAGAGGCAGCTTGATGATTTGAGGATGAAAGGTTTCATCCAACCGAGTGTGTCACCGTGGGGCACACCGGTCTTGTTTGCTAAGAAGAAAGATGGTTCTTTGAGGTTGTGCATTGATTACCGAAAGTTGAATCATGCTACCATCAAGAATAAGTATCCATTGCTAAGGATAGATGATTTATTTGATCAATTGAGGAGAGCCAGTTATTTTTCAAAGATTGATTTGAGGTCAAACTATTATCAGTTGCGGGTTAGGGATGAGGATATCCCAAAGACAGCGTTCCGTACACGGTATGGACACTATGAATTCCTTGTTATGCCTTTTGGCTTGACTAATACGCCAGCGGCATTCATGGACTTGATAAACCGCGTCTTTCACGATTACTTAGACCAATTTATGGTAGTTTTCTTGGATGACATTCTTGTGTATTCACGATCTCGGGAGGAACACGATATCCATTTAAGTATTGTATTGCAGATTTTACTAGAGCACCGATTGTATGCCAAATATGAGAAGTGTGAGTTTTGGCTACAAGAGGTAAAATTTTTGGGGCATGTTGTTTTGGAAGGTGGAGTATCAGTTGATCCATCAAAGATAGAGGCAGTTCTGAATTGGGAACAACCCAAGAATATGTTTGAGATCCGCAGTTTTCTTGGTTTAGTGGGTTATTACTGAAGATGTATGAAGGATTTTTCTCGTTTGGCAGCACCCATGACTCGCTTGACCCAGAAAGGGGATCAAGAGTACTTGGAATGAAGCCTGTGAGTCATCCTTTCAAGAGTTAAAGATAAGGTTGACTACAGCTCCTGTGTTGATGATACCCGAACGTGGCTTGGGTTATGTGATTTATTGTGATGCTTCACGTGACTGTTTGGGTTATGTGTTGATACAAGATGGAAGAGTAGTAGCTTGTGGGTCTCGACAGTTGAAGACTCACGAGCTTAACTACCTTACTCATGACTTAAAGCTAGCGGTAGTCGTGTTTGCCTTGAAGTGTTGGAGATACCATTTGTATTGCGAGAGATTCAAGGAATTCTCGGATCACAAGAGTCTCAAGTATCTTTTCTCCTAAAAGGACTTGAACAACAGACAAAGGCAATGGGTTGAGTTCTTGGAGGACTACAACTTTGACTTGCAGTATCATCCGGGCAAGGCAAATATGGTAGTAAATGCCTTAAGCCAGAAATCTCGTGGGACTTTGGCCGGTTTGGGTATTCGAAAATGGAAGATACTTGAGGATTTGGCAAAAATAGGATTGTAGTGCTTTGATGACGATGTTTGTTGTAAGTCGGCATTCTTGTTTAGTCTTGTGGCTCAGCCTACTCTTGTCAGACGAGTGATTGAGTCGCAAAGACAGGATCCAAATTTGGATGCCATTTACACCTTAATCTCTAGTGGTGAGACAGTAAAAGATTGGACCTTACATCTAGATGGAGGTCTACGGTACAGAGACCTTGTTGGACTGAGGTAGGCGAGATAGCCATCTTAAGACCCGATATAGTACTCGAGACAACTGAGAAGATTAAGCTGATCAGACAGAGGTTGCTCACAACTTAGAGCTGACAGAAAAGTTATGCGGATAGATGACAACGACCATTATCCTTTGAGGTGGGAGACCATGTCTTTCCACGGGTTTCTCCACGGAAAGGATTAATGAGGTTTGGAAAGAGTGACAAGTTATCGCCACGATTCATTGGACCTTTTAAGATCTTGCACCGGGTAGGAAAGATTGCCTACAGATTTATTTTGCCACCACAGATGGACAGAGTCCACAATGTCTTCCATGTATCGATGCTACGGAAGTATGAGCCAGATCCATCTCACATTTTGAGTTGGGTTGATGTGGACATTGATGAGGATGTTTCTTATAAGAAGGAACCAGATCAGATCCTTGACACACAGCAGAAGGTGTTAAGGAACAAGACGATACCACTATTGAAGGTTCTTTGGAGGCATCACGGAGTTAAGGAGGCTACTTGGGAGCTCGAACAGGAGGTTCGCTCCAAGTATCCAAAGTTGTTTTCTCCCTCAGGTATGGCTTGATTTTGGGGATGAAATCCTTTTAAGTTGGGGAGAATGTAATGTTTATGACTTTCATTATATATATATATATATATATATATATATATATATATATGTATGTATATGTATAATGTTAATTAAGAAATTATTTTGTAAAAGTGGGTGGGACCCACCCTTATTATTTACTCCATGTGATCAAGGGTCATTTCCTGACCCATTTTGTTTCAATCAGCTCTCTCTCGCAACCTGCTCTCTCTCCCCCTTCTGGCTTTCTTTTTCTTCTTTTTATTTTCCTTTCACAAAAGCTTAGATTAAAGCCACACCATTGGGAATTTTTGGGTGCCATTTGCGGCAAATTGAAGAGCTCGGCGAGATCTTTAAGTGGGTGTAAGTAATTACAGTTTTGGTGTACTCTAGGGATTTCAAATTTTTGGCTCACTTTAGGGATTTTGCATTTAAGTAAGGTATGAGTGTTTAATCCACAATCTCTTAGATTTTGGTGAATTATTTTTCATAATTTGTGTTATAATATGCTCAATTGGTGTATACTTCATGCAATATTTGTTATGTGTTGTATATGAGATGTGTATATATATGTTAGTTATTATGTGATAAAGAATCATGTTAAATTGATGTTAAATTTCATGCCTATTGTGCTTTAAAATGCTGAATTTTATGATTTTGAAGCATGATGTAAATTTCTAGAATATTTCTATGAGGCATGTATATTGTAAATATTTGACTTGTAAGGAATAAAAATTTCTTTATTGGCATGGCATTGGAATGCATAAGACATATATGCATTCATTGGGAAAGAATGGGAAAAAAATTGATTTGAAATAAATTAAATGGATTTTTGGAAAGAGGATTTTTTATTTTTGCGAAAACCCGGTTACCTAGGGGTTACCTAAGGGCCGTGGTGTTAGTGAGGCCTAGAGGGGATTAGGGAGATTTCCTTAGCATGGTTGAGTTACCTGGGCCACAAATGACACCATGAGGTTACCATGGGTCAGGGACAGTAGCCAATCCTCCTCTCATGCCGCCATGGGGTCACCATAGGACGGGTTTTACTAACGGTTTGGAAATAATGATGAAAATGTTTTTAAAAAATAGGGAGCAACATTGCATGACATTGCACCCATTGCACGGCATATCTATTCATGACTTGGTTTATGAATGTAATATTATGGTTATTTTTCCCCAGCATAGCATGACCTCAATTACTTTGTTTCTATTCATTATTTGGATTTACGGGGTCTTAAGAAGTGTGCCTTAGGCACCTCTTACAGAGCTTTATGCTCACTATTTTTATAAAACTTAGCATATTGTATTCTGTACTGAGACTTATGGCCTCTTGTTATAGTAATTATATTCATGGGCTGTAACTTTAATATAAGTTGTCTAAATGTTATAAGATATGGACTTTTGATCTTAATTATAATTTTGGGACAGTAATTGTGATATTTGGATTAGATGGCATGTAGTTGTTCCACCATGAGCTGAACTATGTTGAAGCATAATGAATAGATGAAAGGAATATCGAAATGTATTATTTGCATTGTGTGCTGGGACAGGTTTAATAAATTTTAAAGGTCAACCAACGGACCAGTGGCCTAGCGGTATCAGTGATGAGCACTGAAAAGTGCGTATTTAAACCCCTTAAGCTTAGGCATTCTAGTACATTTATCTATCTTACTTTACCGTTTTAGATTAGTTTCGTATTATCTCCTTTTTCAGGCACTTATCCCAAAAATAAGCTAACTCAGCCAAATAAGAGCTTAATTGAAGCAATTCTGGGATTAAACAAATAAATGAGCAAAGTGGAGAAAGAAGGAAGCAAATGAAGCCAAAGGTAACAAGCAACAAAGTTCGATCGATCCAAGTTCAAAGTTCAATCGAACGAACAATGATCGATCTCAGCACTTTAAGATAGATCCAAGCCTTGACCCAAAAGCATAAAGTCCCAAAAGTTTGATCGATCCAACACCATCCTTCGATCGATCAAACACTTTTGTCCTTATTCAAATGATTAATCCTATCCACAGCTATACCACCCACTAACCACTTTTGTCCTTTTCCCATAAATATCTCCCAAAAATATCTCGGATTTGTCTTTTTCCAAAAAGTTCAGCCAGTTGGATCGATCTAGCCTAAGTTCGATAGATCTCAGCCAGTTCGATCAATCCAAGTTCAAGGTTCGATCGATCGAACTTCCTCCAGTGCAAAAAGTTAAAATTCCATCGCATTGAAAGTTAACCTTTATCCAATCATTAGGGAATATTGTGTGCACAACCCCAGCTCATTTTGGGTGTCATTTTGACCTACC